AGAGAAAACACCAAGTTACCTGGACCTGCTGGAAGCGGCCGATGTCCCCCAATGGCCGCAGGAGGCCATTGCAGGCCACGGGGCAGGACCTCGCGGGAATGTCGGGCCGAGGCCTCCTGCTCCCACACACTGTCCCTTCTGTGGTGCAGGGGGAGGCGCAGGCTGCCCCTGGGGCTCCCCCATTGGGTCCTGCGTAGCCCTGGGCCTCCTGAGGGCCCATAGTCGTTTTTATAATTTCTCCTTAAAGGGATCCGGTTAAACGATGACTTGAGAGTAAGACATTCAAGGCGTCAGCCTCCCTGGGTTAATGGTTTGTCCAGGGGCTCTAAAGGGCAGGTTGAGCTGACCGGGGGGAGGAGCCTGGGAAGGAGGGACACCCTGGATGCCCCGCACTTGGCGTTGGCGTCCCCTCACTGGGTCAGAGCAGGCGACCCCTCCTTGGAGAAGACGGGAAGGTGCTCAGGTCAGGTCAGGAGGCGCAGGTGTGTGAGCATGAAGCCTGGACGAGTTCCCTTTTCTCAGTGACTCCGAGCCGCACGGAGCCTGGAGACTGTGAAGAGGCCGCACGGAAAGGAGATGCTGGTCGCGCTCGTACCCCGATCCACGGCCCGCGTGGACCCAGAGCCGGGCCTCCTTCCCCATGACGGTGCCCTCTACCAGCCACACCCAGCTTCTCTCCTTCCCAGACCACAGGCAGGCAGGACTCGGCTGCTCCAGGGAAACCCAGGTATTCTGACACCTTGGCCCCTGTTATGCACTGAATTCTGCCCCCCCTCCTTCCGGCCCCCCAGTCATTTATTGAAGCCGTAACCCCCACGTGACCGTCTTTGGAGAGAGGGTCTTTAAGGAGGTTAACGTTCAGGGAGGTCATAGGGTATGGTCCCAACCCAACGTGCCTTAGAAGCAGACGCCCTTTAGACACACAAGGGACATCAGAGAGGTGTGTGCTCACAGGCAAGGCCACGCGGGGACACAGTGAGGCGGCCGCCTGCAAGCCAAGGAGCGAGGCCTCAGGGGGAACCAGACCGGCCGGCACTTGACTGTGGACTTCCAGAGACTCCTGGAGCCGAAGCCGCCCGTCTGTCGTGTTTTGTTACGGCTGCTCAGGTAAACTGATACAGCCCCCAAGGGTGCCACTTACACCCCTCGGGTGGCACAATTCCAGCCGAGAAGCAGGGCGGGAAGCCCGCGGGGGGAGGTGGCTTTTGGGAAAGGCAGTCTTGCTCTCAGAAAGAGTGGGGTGTGTAGAGTGACTGCCCTCTCCCGCCTGTGCTGCTCCTGTGGTGTGAGGAGGGGGTACCGGGAACCTTTGCCCTCACAGAGGGGAGGGGTGGCTGCCCTGTTGAGGACGGAAAGGTAGCGGGTTGGAAGGAACCTAGATCCACGATGTTGGGCCTGAGTCACAGAAGCCTGTACGTCCTCCTCTTTGCAACACGACCTTGTGTCTTGGTCTTAGTTTGGGCTGCCCCAACAAGAGACCCTAAGTGGGGTGACTGATCCATGACAGAAATCTATTCTCACAGTTCCGGAGGCTGCGCATCTGAGATCCTGGTGCCGGCCCGGCCAGGTTCTGGTGAGAGCCCTCTTCTGCTTACAGATGGCTAGCTTTTCATGTTTTTTTTTCCTCCATTGATTTTCAGATAGAGTGGAAAGGAGGGAGGAGGCGGGAAGAGAGAGAGAGAAACATTGATGCGGGAGAGACACGTTGAGTGGCTGCCTCCCGCATGCACCCCGATGGGGCAGGGGGATCGAGCCAGCAACTGGGGTATGTGCCTTTGACTGGGAATCGAGCCCTCAACCCTTTGGTCTGTGGGCCGATGCTCTAACCACTGAGAAACCCCAGCCAGGGCTACTTTCTTTTTTTTAAAAGATTGGTTTGAGAGAGAGAGAGAGAAACATCGATTTCCTGTTCCACTTATTGATGCATTCCCTGGCCGGTTCTTGGATGTGCCCTGACTGGGAATCGAACCCAAGACCTTGGTGTAAGGGGATGTGCTCTAACCGACCGAGCAGGCCAGGGTGATGGATGGTGTTAGAAGCTGGCTGATGGGGAGTGGCTGTTGCCTTTGAGACGAGACAGGCCAAGGGAGACGCTGCTTTTAATGAGGTGGTCTCGGTGGAATCTGGGGGGGCCACCCTGAGCCACTGCCCCTGCTCCCTCCTCCTGCGGGTGGCCCAGGCCCTGCAGGACGGGCGCTCCCTGTGGGCTCTGTAGGGCCCGTTCTCCGCGCTCAGAGTCCATTCTTCTCTTGCGCCGAGGCCTGGAGCGGGACCATCTGCTTCTGCTGCTCTTGCTGCTGGCGCCGCGGTTTCCCTCTCCTCCTGGGGGGCAGGAGAGCGGTGCCCTCGGTATGTAGCCTGCAGCCAGGGATGGGGCTCTCCGCTTAGCTGTGCCCAGCTACCCGCTCTCTGCCTCAAACACCTCCCCTCCCTGGAGACCCAGAAAGGACCCCAGGAGACAGCGCACTGGGGAGACAGGGATGGAGAGCCGTGGCCTGGAAAAGGAGGCCTGGGTTTGAGCCTCAGCACCACCCCAGCCTGCGTGTGGGACCTGAGGTAGGTCCCTGCGCCTCTCTGGGCGGGAGCCCACCTGTCCTCCAAGTCTTGCACCGTGTCCGGCAGGGGATGGCCCAGCGTCTCCGGCAGGAGGGCGGTGACGGCGCTGGCGACCACGGGGACAGTGCCGTAGATGAAGAGAGGCATGGAGGGGAAGAGCTCGGCGGTCATGCTCACCAGGGGGCTCGCGATGCTGCCCACGCGGGCCATGGTGCTGCCCATCCCCAGGCCTGTCTGCCTGTGGGGCCCACGGGGGGAGGGGCTGGTTAGTGTCTGGCATAAAGGTGGAGGTGCTCCAGCACCCCTTGGTGCCTCCTCCGTCCCCCATTTCATTAGCAAACCAATTTGGCATTTGTTTTCGAGGTGAGAAGGAGGAGGAGGAGGAGGGAGAAGGGAGAAGAAGAAGGAGAAGATGAAGAAGAAGAAGAAGAACAACAACAACAACAGGTTGGGAAGGGCTCTGGCCTTAAGAAGAAGGATAAGAAGGAGGAGGAGGAGAAGGAGGAGGAGGAGGAGGAGGAGGAGGGGAAGGGAGAAGGGAGAAGGAAGAAGGAGAGGGAGAAGGAGAAGAAGGAGAAGAAGTTGGGAAGGGCTCTGGCCTTAGAATCAGGAGACTGGTTTTGCCTCTGCCCTTAACTTGCTGTGTGACCTCGGCCAGTCCCTGCTCCTTTCTGGGCCTCCGTTTCCGTGGCAGTCAGATCCGACAGCCGAGTTGGGCCAGCTGATCTCAGATCACCTGCGGGGTTTCTGAGTGACAGCTGTCCCAGCCCCACACAGACAGACCTCTCGGATTAGAACCCCCAGGGGAAGGGTCTGGACTGTGCAGGTTAAGAACATTCTCTACGAGAGCAGAGGTTAAGCACATCGACTCAGGCGACTCATAGCCAAGCTTTGTCACTTACAAGCTGTGTGACCCTGGGCAAGTCACTTGACTTCTCTGGCTCAGTTTTTTCATTTGTCAGGTGGGAATGATCATAGTACCTACCTGGTAGGATTGTTATGAGGATTAAGCGGGTTGATATTGGCAGAAGGTTTAAGAGAGCGCCTGGCACATAGTAAGTGGCCTATATGATTATTCTTTCCCCCGAAATCCTACGAGGGCTCCGTACAGCACCCATGACCCCTCAGGGTTCCCCAAGTGGCTTCGGGGAGCCTGACGTCGCTTTGACATCTCATGTGAATTTTGCATCCCATTCTGAAAACAGACACGTGTAACGGCTGGTGTGCGAGGTCCTGCCACCAGCAAGTGCGGCTCCTGTGATGGGGAGGTGGTGGTCTTTGGTTTCAGACGGACCACCTGGCTTCTGGGTGGAATTTAGATTTGGTGTCGGATTCTAACTTGTGCTTTGAAGATCTAGGGGCGACTTCAGTTTATTGCCTTTGAGATTCGTCTTCTTGGCTCCCTACCTGTCTCAGCTGGGCCACCTTCTGAGGTCTTTGAGGGTTGGGAAGGGCTGAGCGGGTAGTCAGTCCTGTGTCCGCCAGGGACCGAGTGTGTATCCAGTGGCTGCTATGTCCCTTGTGCTGGTGGGTGCTGGGAAGGACTTTTGGGCTGGGCATATGGACCATCCTCTGGGGTATGACCTATGTACGCAGGAAATATTTTACCCCAGGATCCCCCCCTCCCCCATTGGACTCCCACTCACCGGATCATTGTGGGGTACAGCTCCCCAGTGTATAGAAAGATGCAGTTGAAGGAGGCAGCCAGGCAGCCCTTGCCCAGCACAGCAAGGGAGGTTCGGACCGTGGACTGATCTAGAGAGAAAGGAGGGGTGTCAGCGGGATCTGGGGAGCGGGGGCTGGGAGGATGTGGCCTCGCTCCCTGGTGAGAAGTTGAGTCACGTGTGGGGAGGAGGCCGGGGACAAAGGACCAAGGTGCTCACCCCGGGGTATCACCCCGTTGGCCAGGATGCAGATGCCCGCCAGCAGCAGGGCGGCGATCTGGGCCGGCCGCCGACCCAGGTGGTTGATGGCCACGAAGCCCACAAACTTGGCAGGCAGGTCCACGGCTCCGAAGATGACCTGGATGAGGTAGATGCTCACCCCAAAGCCCTGCAGGTCCATGACCAGCCCGTAGTAGGCGAAGCTGGTGGCGAACCTGGCGGGGAGTGGGGAGGGGCGTGGAGTTTGTTAGGAAGGCTTCCAGGTGGGGTGCTCATTCCAAACAGGGGTACCCTGCTCAAGGAGCTGGAATCTGCCCGGGCTCATCCTTCTTCAGACATGAGTCTCCAGTTTACACTTTGGGGTACTCCTGCCACACCCCAGATCATTTTTACCGGGTGGCTTTGTGGGATTCACATAGTTTCCATCTTTATCCTATATATTGAAACGGGGCTGAGGGGGGCACAGGCGGAGGTCCAAGCCATGTGTTTAGGGCGAAGGTGTTGGGAGAGGCAGTGGCCGCCTGGGACCTGTCCCTGATGCTGGAATGGCTGTTGTTTCTTCTCAAGATGTCAAAAGCCCACACTGTGCAGCTCAGGTCATTGGATAAAACCCACAACCTAGAGCAGCGGTCGCCAGCCTGTGGTCCGTGAGGTCTGAAAGGTTGGCGACCGCTGCCCTAGAGTAAATCCAGAACTGGTGACAAAGAATTCATTGGTGACAAAGAATTCATTGGTGGGGTTGCTCCGTTTGACAACGCCTTTGTGAACTGACGTGGAGTGCCTGGGGTGATGGGGTCGGGAGGGGAGCTGTGAGAAGGGTAGTGGGGAATGTTGCAGTGGGAGCGGAAGACGCTGGCTAGAGTCAGCCGTAGCCACACTGTGCGTTTGGAGACCAGCTGTCGGCCTCTGTGGCCTGTGCCCGTGCTTCTGGCCAAGGCCGGTACAGCCTCCCATGGTTTGCCAGCCAGACTGGTCTCTGCCCTCGCAGCAGGTCCAACACCCACAGGGCCGAGGCCGAGCCTGGGCCCATGGTCAGCTCCTTCTGCAGACTGGACCGGAGGCCCTGCCAGGACGGGAGGGCTCAGGGCCTGGGCTCCCTGAGGAGCTCCTCCCAGGCCAGCCCCTTACTCCGGGAAGCCCTCTGGGTCCTGAGACCTGGGTTCTAGGCTTGGGGGTGGAGCCTGGGGGTCTCACCTCCATATTGAGCTTGGCCCCCTCCTCCCGCTTCCTGTTGATCTGGGCCACTCTCTGCAGGGCCTTCAGGGTGAGGTCTAGCCTCCCGGAGGAGGCGTACCAGCGGGCTGACTCGATGAAGAACCTGGTGGGGGGTGGGGGGGTTGGTGTTGGCATCGCTCCAGTTCCAGGCGCCTGGGCCGGGGGTGGGGTGGGGAGGTGAGCTTCCTAGGGGCCTGTGTGGGGTTTACTTAAGTCTCAGAACCCAGGGGCTTTGTCAAGTCCATCTGTCCAGGACCACAAAGCAGCGCCCAGCTCGGTGAGGACTCATTGTGTGGCAGGAAGTCAGTTCTTGGGTGCTGGGGAGAGGGAGCCTCACGGGCAGGCTGGCGCCTGGAGGGGAGTGGGGGTAGAGGGGGGCGTGGGGAGCTGGGGAAAGCTGAGACCTGGACACCTTGGGCCAGATCCTGCCCCCACAGCCCCTTCCCTGGCTGTCAGGCTGAGGCATGGCCTGGCTTTGACCTTCTGGCTTTGACCTGCTCTGATTCTGTGGGGTGGGTGTTCGGCATGATCTGGGGGGTGTCTTGTCCCTGGCAGTCCTCTGGGCTTCGGGGGCGCCCCGCCCCACCCTGGGCCCCACGCACCAGGAGTAGACGAAGGAGACAAAGAAGGGCACGGAGACCAGCAGCTGCAGGTAGCGCCAGTGGGGTACGGCGTAGGCGGTGCCCGCCAGGATCAACTGGCCCAGGCTGAAGACGTAGCCGGCCAGCGTGCTCACATATGCCCGCGTGTGGATGGGCATCCACTCCAAGTCTGGAAAGAGGGTTAGAGCAGAGTGTGCCACTTCCCGCTGCCAGGGAGCGGGGCCTGGGCAGGCAGGACCCTCTGCAGGCACCCCTTGGTCTGGCCCAGGCTCAGGGAAGAGGCGTCAGAGGAGGGCGGGTGCCGTGGGGGGAGGTGGGAGACCAGTGGAGGTAGGGATGGGGGTTGGGGGTCCCGAGGAATTGTCCCCTCCTCCCCTCTGCTGGGCGATGGCTCCGCCCTGCGCTACAGTCCTGGCTGGGGCCTCCTTTCCCTCAGGGGGTGCCTGACCACTCAGTGCAGCCTCAGCAGCAGCCGCTCCCCTGGCTCTGCCAGCCTGGCCGGACCTCAGCCTCTGTGGCCAGAGCTGGGAGGAGCGAGGCTTCCCTCTGCCCTGGGGAGCGGGTGGGAGTCAGGGCAGCCCTGGGTGATGGAAGCCCCGCCCTTTGCGGGGCTCTCGGGCTGCCCTCTCCAGGTGTCCGGCCCCAGCCCTAGCCAAGTCCGGGCTAATTCCTTCAGTTCAGAGAACCCTAGACCCTTAGATTCCTTTCTGGGCTGGAGGGGCGACCTCGGGTAAGTCCCCTCCCTCTTCCCTGGCCTCGGGCTCCTCCTCTGGGAACCATGGGATGGGAGACAGGGCTATGGCCGGGCCACGTTCAGTCCATAAATGTCTGTTCTACATGAGGCCGCCTCGCCCTGTCAATAATACTGGGATGAGTTGCCACATTGGGAAATTGGGATATTTTACATAATAAAAGGGGGTGGGGAGGCC